GCAAAGTCTTGCAACTATGTCGAAGTAAAATTACTCAACATCTCTCCAAATGTCTTTTGACAGCGAGTCGAATAAACGCCAGGTGGAGTAACTTCACTTCTTCGCTCTACACGAGATAAGGCACCTAACCTAGATTTTTATACGAGGACACAGACACTTATCTGCCCATTTTACTGATGAGATATTCCATTTTATGTTAGCAGAAAGCATTACCCGACGCTTATACGTGAGCATGCTTCATATTACCATGACAACGGAAGTTAGCAGATTAGATCCGGTTCATTTTTATTTATTTTGTTTTATGCTAACAGTCTTTGAATTTTTTTTTTATTTCTAATTATTTAAAAATCAGAAATATTTCCGATAACGAAGAATAAAATGTTTTTTTTTAATGAAATTATTAAATGACTCATACAGCAAATTAACAAAAATGCAATTTTGAAGATTAATTAAATATTACCGGCCTAATTGTATAACAGAGGTGAAGCAGTGAATAAAAATGCTATTGATGATTTAAAAATCATTCCTGATATATATCTTAATTTTATCTTCAAAAAATATTTCTTTTCATAAGCTCTATTCCAGTTAATTTCCCTTATGGTCGCATGTTTTCCACAGACATGAAGCGGCAGGATTATATTAGGTCATTGCTACCTCTACAGCTAGAAAGGTTTGTTGACTGTGTTGTATTAAACACGGTTTCTAATCAGAATCCATCGCATGTTTTAATAGATCTACCATTCATCGGTACATTGAATATTGCTCCCATATCTGGAATGGTGAGCATGGTCCGGGTGTAACAGCAAAATTGTCCATATCGTGTAACAACATAATTATTCCTCCAGAAAATTATATCTAAAAAAGCACTAAACTAATTGAGTTTTTTTTTCCAGGTTTTCAGATAAAACGTTTAGCCATCTTGATACTATTTTTTCGTAAGAATAAGTGAAAAAAACTTTGAGTTAAAAATGAAGAATTAAATTGGAAATGCTGGATTTAATGTTGTATATAATTATTTTAGTTTATACTAGGGCCTGTTAGTATTTATTAATTATTTTATGATATATTTTCATCGTGTTTATAATTAGAATACATTTGGTTGCGGTATAAAAGATTAATATGTTTCGGATTAGTTAAAGAGTTATTATTTTCTATCTGGTTGCGACAATTCCGCACCAACAAACGAAAAGCAACAATGTACAAGAATATAACTGTACTCTGGCATACTGTATCTCCAATGGAAAAAAATAATATTAATGTTCGCCACACTACAATCACGTTATCTCGGCGGTTGAGTTTTTATTTGAATTATGCGTCTAACTTCTAATTTCTAAACATTTACAGCGTCATACCTGTTCATATCCAAAATTCAGAAAATTTTTGGTTGAACATACAACTATACTTTTTTCATGAAAATGATAAATATAAACGAAAAAATCTCAGGAAGCTATCTTTATTAAAAAACTGAAACCAAATCTCCGTATATATATATATATATATATATATATATATATATATATATATATATATATATATATATATATATATATATATATGTATATATATATATATATATATATATATATATATATATATTATATATTATGAAATAGATTATGTCCGATAATTATTTAACGTATTTTCTCTGTGTATGAATGGTAATGTCACGTCAAGCTATATGACGTTTCCCAGAAGGGTTACAGGTTCGATTCCTGTCAGTGCGCATATTTTCTCCGACATTTCTCGAAAATTCAGACCTGTAAATTAATACTGTTTAATTAAAAACATACCATTTACTTAAAAAACATCACATCTATAAAAATAACGTATAAACAGAGTATATATATATATATATATATATATATATATATATATATATATATATATATATATATATAAAGAGAGACATATAGAGAGATCTGTTTACGTACAGTTAAGGACAAATTTTGAAAAGGAAGATTCTGTGATTCCAATAATGAAAGAATAAAATTAATGAAAAAAAATAACCTAAATTTGTCCCCATCTGCTCTCAAATTCAAAAGTCCTTAACTTTCAATTTTGTTTTCATAATAAACCAAACTAATCTAAGCCTCGAGAGTTTCCCACGGTAGGGTATTTTTTTAAATAGTTATAAAGAATAATTATGTGTATCATATGAATGAACGAGTATATGATAGGAACTGAAGATTATAAACAAGACGAGGGTAGATAAGGAATGACATTTTGCATGGAGCGGTTCGGATAATACTCATTCCGGAAGCATCTACGCGGTTGTCTCGTCTACAATGTATCTGATTTGGGGAAATATCTGTCTGTGCGAATGTTTTTTTCTAACTTTTGGAACACGATGGACATGAGGGCGAATTGATTCCGTGGACTTAGCATTGGATGATCTCGCTGTGAAAGTCTAAACTGGAGAATGTAAAGGTCATCTAAAAGTATGGTATTTGTTAGATTTGGTTTTAAACTTGCGACATTGAGTCTCCCGGGAAGAGGCAGCAGATTGAAGAATATGCCTTTCCAGCACATGACAGCGTCAATAATTTAAACTCTTTTAAGGCGGGAAATGCTTAACTCACCAAAACAAATCACGGATGTGATAGCCAATTTACAGTCTTGATATTTACATCTTACTGTCTTTACATCTTACTGAAGACTGGAATTTTGAAACCTCTTTGAAACATGCAATTGTCTAGCATGGTCAGCAAACGTTACAGATATAAATTCTTGGACACAACCTTCATTATATTAACTTTCTTTCTTGTTACTTTGTATGGATACGTTCTTTCCCTGTCAGTGGGGTTTAGAAAACGCCGACTTCATGCCTAGCAGATAAATCAAAAGCTTCCAAAACTGCACCAGTATGCGGGTGGATAATGTCATGTGAAAGCCACACTGGTCCAATGATTACATTGAGATTATTTTTCTAAAGCCGTGGAAAATATTCGTCAAATGTATACTTCAGTCCAAAATATTTTTCTAATTTCTTTTATACTTAGTTTTTTTTTTACTAATGTTCACGCTATTTAAGACCCAAAAGCCACTTCAACTAAAGTGTTGTTGAAGGACGTGTTTTTATAATCAGTAGGAGTAAGCATTAAGCAGCACAGTTTACAGGGTGTACGGAAAGTCACAATATATAGCAATTATATTTTTTTATTAAAAGACATATTTCAATATAGAATACAGGAGGAAAATATGATTGAAAAATTTTTAAAATACTGAAAGTGACGCCAGTTAGACATAGATCCTTTTTTTTTCTGAACAATGCGACCAGTTGCTTTCAATTCTTGTACGGCCATTATTTTGAATGTGATGAGATAACATTTTTTTCTTTCGGTCGTTCGGCAGTTCCATGACCAATATATTGTGTTGTGTTAAATTTCAGTTTCTCCACCAATAGCTTTGCTGGCCTTCCGCAACGTTTGGCATCGTTCATTGGCCTTGTGTCCCTAAATTAATCAACAACGTTACGAACTGCATTTACGATGTGGAACGGGTGTATGTGAAAATGCTTCCCGCCGCCAAGTTTCCCAGAGACCGCCCAATGATTACCATGCGTTGAATTTAGATTCTTGATTTCGTCAGTGTGCACTTAAATCAACAACCCAAGACCGTGAAACATGCTCAAAGGGTAACACGATGAAAATATAATGCCCCGTCAGAAAAGAAGAACGCGAAACCTGTTTCCTATATTATATAGTTACACTATATAGCAATTATATTTTTTTATTAAAAGACATATTTCAATATAGAATACAGAATGAGAATATGATTGAAAATCTTAACTAATGCTGAACGTGACACCAGTTAGGCATAGATACTTCTTATTTTTATTTGTGAATAAACAATCAGTTAGTTTCAATTCTTGTACCGCCATTATATTGAGACGGAAGAGATAACTTTTTTTTTATTTCGGGCTCATGAACAGTTCCGAGGCCAATATATTGCTGCTGCGCTAACTTTCACAATTATTTTTTGGAACACTGCTTCATATTGACAGATCTTTGTTGGCCTTCCATCAGGTTTGCCATCGTTCACAGATCTTGTTTCCCGAAATTAATCAAAATTTTATGAACTGCATTACATAGTGGAACACGTCTATGTGTAAATTTGTCAGCAAAACCCTGTCGCACCAAATAGTTGTATCTACGGCCTTCTCAAAATTCAACGAGAAATACACGTCCTTCAATTGTTCAAACTATATTGGGGTGAAATGATTATAAAAGTACAGTAAGGTTCGAATACCCTGTATCTAAACTATAATAATGGATCCTCCCGCCGTTATGGATGTTTGAGTGCCAGCTATATCTGTTCTTAGAACCAACCATTGGCGCATATATTTTGATTTAGTTGCAACGGCTTGGACTGAAGAATCGAATACTGAGAATTGGTCTTCATAGTGTCCTATAAGGTCTCCAAAAACCCTCCTCAGCTTTTGAATTCATATTTCTTTTCTATATCGGTTACCAAACATGATATAGGGCACCGTCTGTTCTGTTATTAAACCCTTAGCTAGATGGAGAATAGTTTGATTCATTCCTTTACAAAGAGTATTTGTGTGCGTGAATATTATGAACTCGACTGCAATTTGAACCCCGTTCACAGATTTCTCGTTGCGAACCTATAACCATTACACCACCGCACATCCACAGAAAATTATAGTGATTTACTAAGCGTAGCTTAGATGTAGTACTATGCTGAAAATATAGATTACCCAATAAGGATAGAGCAGACTATACTGTCGTAATGGATCTAGCGAGACAAACTTGCTATTCCACCACATGGCGATGCCTCATCCGAAGAACATTATAGGCGAAACTATGCTCGGCTTTATGTTGGGTGTGGGTTTATGTGGTCGGTTAAACTAGAGCTATGTCTTCCTTTCAACTCAAATGGAATTCGGCTCTGTTTTCTTAACTATTAATTAATTGCGACCTTTGTCCTAAATGACTTGTAATCGACATTAATTGGCCTAACAAATATAATTATAGTATGATATGGCGTCCAACATAACGAAACGTATCCTTCGTTGCTTTCTTTTCATCACCATGTTCGTTTCTTCAAAGTTTCTGATGTATTGAATATGCATACACCTGGGTCCCCCTCACAGTAATATAATTGGCTGGTGTCAGTCATAAATACAGACGGATGTGGAGGTATATTGGTCTACGCCTATTAACTACGGCCATTGACTACACCTATTGACTACGCGTATTGTCTACGGTTATTGGCTTGAGTCCATTGCCTACGCCTATTGCCTACCACTACGACGAGGACCAGTCCATTACGGTTACCTGCTAGATTGTCCTACTCGGTTACAGTAGCGAAAACCACTTAGCTACTTCGAACAAATATAACCCTTTCCGGGACATATCAGTTTCATTACTTGTTTTACTTTGACACAAAGACTTCTCTTCCTCGTTATTTTTTCCGTTTTTTTTCATCATTGTCCTACATCATCCACACAATTTTTAGATTTATTCTTCGTTTCTTTAATAGCTCCTAAATCTTTATGAAGTTTTGCTTATTGTTGACATGTTGAGTGTTTCCCCGTGCGTGTATTGAAATAAGGACAAACACATACGTAGGGAAAATACTGGTATATCTGAAGAGGCATTTACAACAGAGAGGTTAGTAGTCAAACGAACGCAGGTTAGTCAGTAACAATCAGAAAGAGTATAAAGTCCAACTGTATCTTCCGGTAGAGAGACGGAAGTGTGATGGTCACCTGATCTCCCAGAAATCTATAGAACTGTCCTATTAGTAGTAGAGAGATCAGTCCATTCTGATGAGAAGGTGGGTGGCCCCAGCACTTATAATTCGTCTCTTCCATTCTTCATTTTTCTTTAATTCTTTCTTTTATTTCTCACCATTTTCTATGTGACGTTCTTTTCTTGAGATACAACGATTTTTAGAACAGTTTGTTTTCATTTTATTCAATTTCTAGTCATTTTCTATGTGCCTTTATTGGTTTATATTCTGACAAATTTCATTTTTTCATTTCCTTTTTGGTTCATTAATATAAACTTAGCCTTCATTTCTTTTTTGTTGCTTTAATTTCGATATTGCATTTCTTTATTTCTTTTCCGTCTGTTTAGTTCGACATTTTTCATTTCTTGTTTGTTTTGAATCATCCCTATCTAATTATTTTCTTTGTTTCTTTAATTTTTCTTTCATTTCTTCATTTCTTTTGAGTTTCTTTAATTTCGAATCATTCGTTTCTTCTTTTCTTGTATGTTCCATTAATATAGAATCATTATTTTTATCATTTTTTGTTTTCTTAAAATAGAATCATGCCTCCCTTCATTTCGTAAATTGTTTCTTTAATTTTGAATTATGACGTTCTTCATTAGTTGATTCTTTTACTGAAATAGAACCATGTCTTCCTTCATTTGTTTTTCTTTTATTTAATATCTTTCTTGTCTTGTTACTTTCTTTAATTTCGAATCATTCCTTTATTCAATTCTTTTTTATTTCTTTTATTTTGAATGTTGACATTCTTCATTTCTTCCTTATTTCTTCAAATTTGAATCATGTCTTTTTTTTTCTTGTTACTTTCCTTAATATAGCAGCATTCCTTACTTCATTTCGTTACTTGTTTCTATAATTTTGTATCAGGCCATTCTTCATTTGTTGATTGTTTCATTGAAATGAAGCCATGTCTTTCTTTATTTCTTTCTTGTTTCTTTAATTTCGAGTCATGCTTTTCTTTTTTTCCCGTTTGTGTCTTTAATATTGAATTATGCATTTCTATATTTCTTATTTGTTTCTTTTATTTTGAATCATTCCATCCTTCAATGTATGCTACTTGTTTTATTTTGAATCACGCCTTACAGCATTTCGAGGTTGTTTCTTTAATTTCGAGTAATGCCTTTCGTCATATTTTTTTACTTCTTTCATTTATAATGTGTTTCTTCATTTCTTTTTCCTTCTTTAATTTGAATAATGTGTTTCTTCATTTCTTTTTGCATCTTTAATTTTGAATAATGTGTTTCTTCATTTCTTTTTGTTTCTTTAATTTGAATTATGTGTTTCTTCATTTCTTTTTGCTTCTTTAATTTTGAATAATGTTTTCTTCATTTATTTTGTTTCTTTAATTTTGAATAATGCCTTCTTCCATTTCTTTTTGTTTTTTTTAAATTTTGAATAATCTTTCTTATTTTCGTGTATATTCCTTTAATATAGAATCATGCATTTTATCACTTCATATTTGTTTCTTGAATATCTTGAATCTAGTTTTCCTGAATTTCTGTTTTGTTTGTTTAATTTTGAATCGTGCTTTTCTTCATTGCCTAATTTATCTTCGTGTATATTTCTTTAATATGCAATCATGCCTTCATTTATTTATTTTTTTCTTTTATCTGGAATCATACCGTTTTTCACTTCTTTTTCTTTAATTAATATGGAATCATGAAAGTCTTCTTTTCATATTTTTTTCTTTAATTTTCAATCTTGCCTTTCTTCAATATTTCTTTAATTTTCAATCTTGCCTTTCTTCAATATTTCTTTAATTTTCAATCTTATTTTTTTCATTTTTTTTTTGTTGCTTTAATTTTTCTTATTTGTTTCTTTAAATTTGATGCATGCTTTTCCTCATTTCTTGGCTGTTTCTTTAAAATGGAAACATGGCATTCTTCATTTTTGTTTCTTTAATTTTGCCTCATACCATTCTTCATTTCTGTAATTTTATGTGATAACGTTCTTCATTTTTTGTTTCTTTAATATTCAGTTTTGCCTGTTTTCTATAATTGATTCTTTAATTTTCAGTTTTGGCTTTCTTCATTTTTTGATTCTTTAATTTTCAATCTTAATTTTTTTCATTTTTTTTTTTTGTTTCTTTAATTTTCAATCTTGCCTTTCATCATTTTTTGGTACTTTAATATTCAGGTTTGCCTTTTTCTTTTTTTTATTCTTTAATTTTCAATCTTGCCTTTCTCCTTTTTTGTTTCTTTAACCTTCAGTTTTGCCTTTCTTCTTTTTTTGTTTCTTTTATTTTCAGTTTTGCCTTCTTTAATTTTCAATCTTGCTTTACTCTTATTTTTGTTTCTTGAATTTTGAATCAAGTCTTTCTTCATTTTCCGTATGTTTCTTTAATATAGTATCATGCTTTTCTACTTTTTTTCTTTGTTTCTTTAAATTTGATTCATGCCTTTCCTCATTTCTTGGCTGTTTCTTTAAAATGAAAACATGGGTTTCTTCATTTTTGTTTCATTAATTTTGCATCATAACATTCTTCATTTCTGTAATTTTATGTCATAACTTTCGTCATTTCTTGTTTGGTACTTTAATTTTAAATCTTGCATTTCTTTATTTCTTGTCAATTTCCTTTATTGTGTATAATCCTTTGCTTGCTACAAAATTTTAAGATTCTTCACAATTTTCTTTCTTCGCTTTTATTTATCTATTTATTTATTTATCCTCTCTCTCTCTCTCTCTCTCACACATAATCATCCATTTGTTCTATTTTATATTCTTTTTCTTTCTTTCTTCTGCCATCTTTTATTTGTTACACATTCTTCAATATTTCATCTTCCTTCTTTTTATTTGTGTTTTATTTTCTTTCGCATCTTTCGTACTTTCTCTTAACGATTACAACCAAACCTTGTTTTCAGATTTGCAAGTTTTCTCTTCAACATCTTTAACTAATATTTTCTCTTTTAGTTTTACGACATTCTACACGCCAGGTATTTAAAAGGCGGGAAAATTCTTGTAAAATGAAAGGTTTTCTTTCCATTTTATCCGTTCGGCTTTTTACGAATGTGTTCTTTGGAAATCGGCCAAATAATCTTGCCCGAATTTCAGCCAAGACTGATACCGATATTCCATGTGGTTCGTTCTATGAACAAGAATCTTATATACATTAAAGCTGGGTGTGGAGAAGATTAATTTTTTGAGGTTGAGGTTGGGTAGAACATTATGCCAAAATGGATGGGGGGTTATATTCTGAAAGAGAAACCAGTTCGCAGAAAACGGTAGGAGAAAAATAAAATGGCGGAATTTGCTTTAAAAGAAATGATCAGAAGGCACAAGGTAAAAACTGAAAGAAAAGCTCTTTGACAGAAAGACGAAAGCATGGTAAAGAAGAAAGAAAATGATTTCGGACTTAATTTCTGTGATGATGAGTTATCATTATTTACAAGCGGTCTATCGTCTTATTGTTTTTTTATTGCGTTCACAACTTTTCGAAGTTTGTTAACTTCGGCCCTCATCAGGTGAGTGTCGATCCGAGCAAGCTTTATTTAATTTCGAATTGAAATCTTTACTTGGTCTACGGGGGCAGATTCTTCTCTTTGCCACTGTCCAAGTATATCTCTTCCAATTCTCATTTAGTATTTCTCTTTTTTTTGCTCGCCTCTAATTATTTTGTGGCTTACGTCTGCATCATATTGAAACACAGGTTCGCGTACGATCATAAGTGTTAAGCAACATTGAGCCGGCTTAGCATCTCTATTGCTGACTGCTTTGGAAATACAAGTACTGTAAATTTGGATGTGCGGCTGATATAATAGAGAATGACTTGTCTTGTCGCCCACTAACCAAAAGTAATGGGAACAATAGAAGCACAATAGAAGTACAAGTAATACAATCAGCACAGGTATTTGATTCCATTTATTCACTTTCATTGCCGCTATTTCTCATCGAGAAGATCTTTTATGACCAATTCCAAGACCAATATATTGCTGCTGCGCTAACATTCAGGTCACCAAACACTAGCTTTACTGACCTTTCACAACGTTTGGCATCGTTTAAATAATAAACTTCTTACGTTTCGAGTAACAGCAGGACAAAACGATATCAATAATACAAATATCGTAAAAAAAAAGACACAAAAGCATTGTAGATGAATACAATAGATTAGAAAAAAATGTCACTTTTATATATATATTTCATCAAGATTCTCTGTCAAAGAGAAGTGTTCAATTACAGTTGACTTCATTATGTTCCCTTACGCGCTTACCCTTGGGAAAGGTGTGAATCCACTTATTCTCCTAATTACATCTCATCTTGCGGCCTCAGCCGAGATTGAAATCACTAATACTTTGACTGGTGTAGTTCATGATCTTGTCAAATAGCTGAATTCTTGATGCTTCGCTAGGGCTATCAAGGGTGTTTTTATCGTGACACCAACACTAAATGGATTGCCAACCAAGGCTCAGAGAGACTCCACTCACCCACCTCAAAGAGCAGGTTTGAATTCAGAGTTTTCCTTCTCCGAGACCAGTTGCCATCCAAGGCTATAGAACCCAGTCTGTCCTGCTATTTACCCATAACTGGAGGGAGAAGAAAGAGGATTCACATATTTCCCAAGGGTGTTAGCACGTAAGTGAATGTAATGGATTCGACTGGAATTCGAACTCGGCTCTCCGATTCCTCAATCCAAGCCGCTATCCATTACTCCTCTCAATTACAGGTTAATTGGTTATCATTATATTCTCAAAAAAAAAAATCTAACAATCTAAAATAAAGAAATATTATCAGGTTTTATAATAAACTACAAAAGATTGATAAGACGAGAAAACAAATCAATGGATCAATCTAATTATTTTTAATATAGCATATTTGTTACTGTACAGGGATATACAAATGTCTTGTCGCCCCTACATAATGTAATTTTCTGTTTCACTGCTCTGTTGCGTATTATCAAGGAGAGAGTTTTACACGAACGATACCAGAATATCCATCAGTTGAAGGACGTCCTTCAGAGAGTCTTTGCAAAAAACAACGCATAGTTTTGAATAATATCACACAAGACATGGCACCGTATCATTTTGTGCCACGAAAATGATGGTTTTCATATAGACTTTCTCGATATGTGATAAAATCAATGAAAGTGAATAAACGGAATCCAGTACATGTGCTTTGTATTACTGTATTGTTCTTTTATTGTTTCCATTACTTATTGATAGTGGATGACACGATTTTCGGATCATCCTGTAAGATTAACAATTTTGCAAAGATTTTACTTAAAATTTAAGTTAAAATATTGGATTAAGTCGAATGATTAATTATAATCAGAAATTAGATTTCAACTTCAGATCGCTGCGATCATGTTCAATGATAAACTTCTTAACTTTTGCTTAAAAGCAGAATAATACGATATCAGTAATGTAGATTCTGCAAAAAAAAACAAAAAAAAAAAAAAAACGCAAAATCGTTGTAGGTGAATACAATAAATTATAAAAAAAAGTTTCACTGCTTTACATATATATTTTTTTTCAAAAATATATTGCTGGTAATAGATTCTTTCTTCAAAAATACTATTTGGTAAGAATTGTTTACAAAGTATTTCTGGTATTAAAGAATTAATTTACATATATATTTGATAGAGTCATAAACAATTTCCGTTTCGGGGAACAAGTTTCAATGCCAAATATATCATCCTAACGACTAATCAGACGGGCAGTTAAAATATTGCAGATAAACATATAAACATAAAATGCGAATCACCGCCATGCTTCCCACAGATCGCATAATGATTAACCTGTGTTGAATGTATATTCTTGATCTGGTGCGCCAAAATCTATAACCCAATGGCGTGAAGCATACTCACAGGATAACACGATGAAAAACTAATGTTACGTCGAGAAAGAAGAAAGTGAAAACTGTCTCCTATATTATATAGTCACAATATATAGGAATTCTCTTTTTTTTATTAACAGATATATTTCAATGCAGAATATTGAAAAAATTATACCATGCTAAAAGTGATACCTGTCAGGAATAAATCCTTCTTAATTTTATTTCTGAACAATGCGATTCAGTCAGTTGTTCCATGCTGGGATACACGGTTAGGCGTTCATTTATCTTTCGATACATGACTGACGAGGCAGATTTTTTTTTTCCCGCAGTAGGTTTACATTTCTTTCTGCGGTAGACAAGGCTATAATATCCGGTCTGTCCTGTTATTTACCTATAGCTGGAGGGGAGAAAAAGGGGGCTCATACCTTTACCAAAGGTATTAACACGTAAGTGAATGTAATGGATTCGATTGGAATTCGAACGCGGCTCTCGGATTCTCCAATCCGGGCCGCTATGCATTACTCCACCGTCTCTTCGAACCATGCCTTTAGTTAATTTCAATTCTTGTATCGCGATTATTTTGAATGGGGGAAAGATTACTTATTTTCTTTCCGGCTCATGAGAAGTTCCAAGACCAATATATTGCACTGCGCTATCTTTAAGTTTTGTCCACCAATAGCTTTGCTGGACTTCCACCCCGTTTGGTTTCGTTTATTGGTCTTGTTTCTGAAATTAATTCACGATCACTGAGCGCCAAAATCTACACCCAAGGGCGTGAAGCATGCTCACAGGCTAACACGATGCAAGACTAATGACACGAACAACGCGAAACCTGTTTCCTATACAATATATAGATTTGCCTATTCGTCCGGGTTTAGGAAGCAAATCATATCTTTCTCATTTACCTACTCTTCGCCCATGAACTCATCCCGACGTACTAGTTGGGAATATGAATGCTACCACAGAAACCGCCCGACTGACAAGTCCGTCTCCCGCCAAGGGCTGACCAGAATTCTCCCCGATCTCAAGCACGGCTGTTAGTGTATCCCAGCACACAGATGTACACTATTTCCGGTTCTATTGATACATGACCAAAAAAAAACAAAAAAAAAACTCACATTCACTCCTTTTTTTCCGCGTTATCCTTCTGTCAAAATGGATATCGCTTAAAAGGCAAAACTTCTAAATGAACCATCTGCTGAATATCAATTAAATACACTGTCATAAAACAACTTTTTCCACTCCTACGTGGACATCTAGACTCAAAAATACGACAATGTCTATCTCGAAAGAAAGTGGATTCAAAAACATAAATCTTCAAACTGACATCAAATTCCGAGCTCCATTGAAAAAAGGAAATACTGTTTGTGTGTGTGATTAATCATTTCACTCAAATTAAAGAAGGAATGTCACTAGTATGCAGGGGGTTACACAGTGAAGATGAGAGAAAGGACTGGATATAGAGGGGACAGAGGAAAGGGTTCAAAAACATAGCAGATGGTGGTTGACGTTGCATTTAAATGTTTCAAAATTCAGGGAAGCAAGGAAACAAAAGGAAGTTTCACAGGAGGGAAATAGGAGAAAGAAGTGGCGATTATATTTGCCTAATACAAAAGTAAAATGGTGAGACCTAGATGACAATCTATTACTGCGTTTAAACACACGTAGTCCGAGTACCAGGGGGCAAAAAAGCTCGTTAGTGCAGTAGGTATGAACATATTTGCAGAAAAGAAAGAAGGAAACCACGTCATGTCTGTGAAAAAGAGACTGAAGTCGAGATGCCTAGGCAGGATTGATTACATTGTAGATCCGTCGTTGGATTTTGTCAAAAATCTCTAGATGAGTATCAGGAGAACATGGCCAGATGTGATAACAGTATTAAATGCACGAACAAATGATAGATTTTTAAATGTGCAAGACGGACTCTGACGCAAAAAAAAGAAAAAATCTGGCACGACACAGTGGTGTGTGTGTGGTGGGGTCGTTGTGGTTATTATTAATTTAGAGTAATTAAAATGCAATGAAAAATTAACGTCCAGCTGTTGAAACAAAGGTTTTATCAAAAA